TGTTAATATGAGTAAACAGTGTCAAATTAAAATTTATGATTTTGCTCTGTCCTTAGAAATAGTGGAATTATGTTAAGGCATTTTAGAATGTTACACCCTAACTTTCAATACATGAAACGTTTACTCCCTTCTATTTTCTTGAATGAAAAGTCAATTAATTTTCAATGTGAAATCTGTGAGCTTGCAAAATATCAATGAACATATTTCCAAAACCTATATACAAACCGTCAAAGCCATTCGCCATGAATCACAATGATGTATGGGGCCCCTCACGAGTCCCAAACCATACCAACACAAAGTGGTTTGTTACATTTATTGATGATTACACTCGAATCCGTTGGGTCTATTTACTAAAAGATAAATATGACGTTCGTACAGTGTTTATCTTGAAGGTAAGATACTAAGTTTCGAGATTCCAAACACAGATTCAAATTTTACAAAGATAATGGCATTGAATATTTCAATCACATCCTAGAAGACATTCTCCAAACACATGGGACAATTCATCAAAGCTCCTGGGTTGACACTTCCTAACAAAATGAGATTGCCGACGCAAAAAGACATCTCCTAGAGGTTGCTCGGGTCTTAATGTTCACTACAAACATGCTCAAAATGTTCTGGGGGGACGCTGGCCTTACATCCATCTATCTAATCAATCGGATGCCTAGTTGTGCTCTAAATTTCGAAACACCTCTCCAAAAATTTCAGAAATATTACCCAACTTCTCGTCTCACCTCTAATCTAGCCCAAAGAGTGTTTGGGTGCACCATCTTCATTCACGTTCACCCTCATTACAGAAGTAAACTTGAACCCCGAGCTATTAAATGTGTTATGATCATATATTCTCCTACACAAAAAGACTACAAATGTTATAGCTTTTCTACAAAAAGGATCTTTATAAGCCTTGATGTCACCTTCTTCGAAAATATTCCATACTTTGAAAACACCTCTCTTCAAGGGGAGATCTTACATGAGGATGGGTTATTTGACCTCAGTCTCTCCCATCCTGAACCTATCCTACCTACTTCACCATCCGATTCGAGTATGTCATTGAAAAAAGGGGATTTTAATCCAGGGAGAGATGTAGAAAAACAAAATGATAAAGAGATAATAGTTTATTCAAGAAAGCCAAAATCAAAGTAAGTGGAAAATCTCACTTCTAAAGCACCAAGAGAGTCAGAACCGATGGTAGTTCCAGATCNTTCAAGAAAGCCAAAATCAAAAAAAGTGGAAAATCTCACTTCTAAAGCACCAAGAGAGTCAAATCCGATGGTAGTTCCAGATCCTCATGAAATAGTGGAGATACCTGATACTGACTTACCCATGGTTCTCGGAAATAAACACGATCATGTACTCTCCATCCTATTTCGAAATTCATATCATATAATACTTTTATCTACAGGTTTTCGTGCTTTTGCATCTCACATTGACAGTATAGTTGTCCCCAGAAAAATGGGTTTTCAATTTGAAACTTGGGAAGTGACTTACCGAAGAGAAAGAAACCCGTTGGATGCAAATGGGTTTTCAATTTGAAATACAAAGTTGATGGAACAATAGAACGGTATAAAGCTCAGTTGGTTGCAAAATGTTACACACAAACCTATGGCGTTGACTACACATAAACATTTGCGCTAGTAGCAAAGTTGAATATAATTCGAGTTCTTTTATCACTAGCAACAAATTTGGATTGGCTACGTCAATAACTTGACATTAAAAAATATGTTCTTAAATGGGGAATTGGAAGAAGTATTCATAACATTACCACCGGGTTTTCGCAAAGTTAATGAAGAAAAAAGGGCGTGCAAACTAAAAAAGTCTCTATACGGACTCAAGCAGTCACCGAGAGCATGGTTTGACAGATTCATGAGAGTGTTGAAAAGTTAAGGATATGTTAAAGACAATAAGATCACACTATGTTTCTTCAACTATTTGAAGACGGCTCTAAAACCGTTCTAATCGTATATGTTAATGATATTATTCTCACGAGAGACGATATAACTACTGAATTTGAAGTGAAGGATTTAGGACAAATGCTATATTTCCTAGGAATGGAACAACGATCTAGTTCTGCTCCATGGCATGTATCACAACTAAAATATGTCATTGATCTTCTAACTGAGACTAGCATGTTAGGATGCGAACTAGGCGATACACTTGTTGATGTGGGAAAGAAAACTTTATTTTTTTTATAACCGTGGATGTCCGGCCAGCTTGCGCGCACCTCGACTAATTCAACGAGGCCCTGAAGTTTACGGCCGAGTACTCACCTCAGTGGCCCTGAAGAGACTCGAACCGGTGACCATTGGAGAACAAACCCAAGACCTGACCAATTGAGCCACCCCTCAGGGTTAGTGGGAAAGAAAACTGAAGATGGAGGAAATCCAATGAAAACTGATAGATATCAGACTAGTTGGAAAATTGATCTACCTATCACATACGAGACCCGACATCACATTTGCAGTCAGTCTGGTAAGCTAACATATGCACTCTCCAAAGGAAAGCCACCAAAAAGCTGTCTATAAAATACTCATATATCTCAAAGGCTCCTCGGGAAACGGACTACTCTTCTAAAATGGTGAAAGAAAAGAAGTTAAAATTTTCACAGATACAGATTGGGCAGGATCAATAGACGATAGGAGGTCTACTACTGGTTTTTGTACCTTTGTATGGGAAAATCTGATAACTTAGAGAAGCAAGAAATAGAATGTAGTTGCCAAAAATAGCGTTAAAGCTGAATTCAGAGTTGTTGCAAAAGGAATATGTGAAGGGATGTGGTTGAAGAAGCTTCTGGAAGAATTACACATCATAATAAAGTTACCAATCAAACTCTATTGTGATAATAAAGCAGCAATCAACATTTTCCTTAATCCAATTCAGCATGACAAAACTAAGCATGTAGAGGTGGAAAGACACTTTATCAAAGAAAAAGTTGAGGAATGAACTAATTGTATGACCTATGTTCCCACACAAGCACAGGCTGCACGTATCTTCACCAAAGGACTACCTAAACAGAATTTCGATGATTTCACCTCAAGTTGGATATGATCAATATTTACGATCCAACTCGAGGAAGAGTGTTGAAATCTCGAGATGATTGGGGACTAAGATTAGGAATTATTGGAGTTGATTCATCTTTCCATAGATAAAATATTGCAATCTCTAGAGATTGTATGAAATTATTTTCTTCTTTTTATTATTTCATTTCTTTTACTATAAGTATATGTCTTGCGTTGTAAATTATGCATAAGAAAATATACAGTTTTCTCTTCATCTCTGTTCTTCCCTCTTATAACACACAAATGGTAGCATAATGGACGATAGCAGCACTAATGTCTTCTTCTGCAGTAAGTTCCTCTTGTCAACAATAAGCTTCTCAACACAGTTGCTGAGTCTATAAAAAAATTGGGCATATTTACAAAAGAATTTAGTATTTTGGTGCACTTTTTGACCAAGATATTCTTTATTGAAGTTACTAGCATACTCTCCTGCCATGGATAATCTTTCAATTTCTTCTTTCTAATTCCTCCTTTCCGACTTTCAATCTCTCACCAAGTCCATAGCCTTCATCCTCCCAGTTAATATTTCTTAACTCGTCCATCAAGCTTTCCAAGTACAGATCTGCCCTAGAATAATCATCTTTGATCCACTTCCGAGTCAATCTTAATAAAAAGCTATTTCTGGTTAATTTTAAAGTAGTTGAGCCCTTGAAATTGTAGTTTTACCACAAATCTCTAACTAATTCCAGAACCTAATGTTTGGGGAACATATTTTCAAGTCTAAAAGCTCTCCTCAAAACACCACCATCAGAGAGCAAGGGGAAGCGATCAAACACTAAATCAGGTAAACAACGGTGGATAGAATCAAGGAACATCTCTATCCATTCAGCGGAAAATAAGAAACGACAATTGCTGGCATAGAAGGGATTTCTCCAGTAGTTAGTATTAACCCAAGCAAACTTTAACTCCAGATGGAGGCAAATTCACAAACTTGCTCTCATTGATACAGAGGTAAACCACACAGATGGAAAAGTATCCCCTCATAAGCTCTTAATGAGAAAATAGTTTGCTGCAACACAATGTGCATGTTAAGCTACTCCAATGGAAGGAACTAAAGGTTCAAAGTCCTTTCAACCAACATGAAGATCGCCATATCCACTCTCACAAATTCCACTTATATTTCCTAGGAAAAAAAAATTAAAGGATCAATCCCCAATTTAAATAAGATCCTTGGCATTCCAAGCCACTAAGTTTAGCTCCATTGAAACATATAATTAACTGCTCTACCCCTGCCCTTTCAAATGTAACCCTTAGCCCACTCCTAGCCCTGAGATTTTTTTTTGCAGTTACCATCACGAACCAATTTCTTCAATTCCCTTTCCTTTCTAGAATCAAAGGAGAACCCTTCTGCTTTCTCCTTAACAAGTCCTCATCACATTTTAAAGGCCTTTCTCAAAATAGAAGTGGTATCAACATCTAATTGGATGTGAATCAAATTAATAAATCAGAATCTATATTTTGTCTAATTGGGAATTAATGAGAGCACAAGAACTTCAGCAACTGAAGAACGCTCTGGTCCAAAATTTAACCTTCTCCCTCCCTAGCCCAAGTAGAATATAAAGATAGAAAAAGAATAAAGCCTTGAATCAGATAGTGGCATTACAAAAAGGTCAAGGGAGCCTTCTATTATATGATTATAATCAGTCCTTTGACACAGCCAGATATAGCAGAGAGCTGCAGTATCGATCTATTAAATACTACATCTAGGGTCCTCCCCTACATTTAAGAGCCATTGTACGTCATATATTGTGTGATTTGACTTGGTCAAACTCTCATATATATAATGAATCTGATTAATATTTTATGTTTATGTGACTTGTCAACTACTTATGATATGAAAGCAAATATAATTGGCTGATATCATATTACTCATTAGGAAAAGTCATAGCCTAATCATATTACATGAATCATAAGGAGCATGCTCCATCCAGTCAAAGAACATACCTTAAAACTGATTATGGCAATCCCTCTGAACTTCCCGCTCTCTGGGAAGTGCAAACAATCAACTTCAGTAATGGTACCACAGCCTTCAAAATAACTTCTAATATCGTCCTCAGTAGAGTAGTATGGAATGCCACCAACATATACTTTATTAGAAACCTCCAAATCTTGTTTGCTGTAAAAACACCATTCCAAAATGACAGAAAATGAAACAAGTTAAATCTTTGAGATGCACCCAATATCATCATATATGACAATAAGAACCTTGCAAAATTTGATAAGCATATGAAAATAGCCCCCATGACATCATTATTTTCGTTCCTCAAGACGTAAAGCTTCATACACCATTGTCAAACAGCTTCCACTACTCACGGTCTCAACAACAAGATCTCAAATTAACTCTTTTCTCATATGCATTTTTTGTTTAATAGGGAAGAAATTAGACAGCAAGGGACCACAACTCCTTTGCAAACCCCTCCCAAGAGAATAGACCCTAACTTCTTCTATAATATTGATCAGCAATTAAGATGAAACTAAAACCATAATTCAGCCAAGAATCACTATTTTCACAAGAACTCAATTTGACATCAAAGATCCACCTTTGACTCAAATACGAAACTCATTGCACTCAATCACTCACCAATACATATGATATTTAAAGCCACAAAAAATGAATAAATGAATGCAATAAAACCATCCCCCAATAAGATAGCGTAACTGCACATGCCTTTCATCGCCTACAACAGCCTCTGCCACAACTTGCTCCTCGATGCCCCCATTTTCGACCTTATTAGCTTTCCTTTTCTTCTTCTTTGTTTTCTTCTTTTTCTTCAACTGTTCCACCTTCTTCTCCACCTCCACGTTCTCCACCTCCTTACTCTCATCTCTCTTCCTCTTCTTTTTCGTCTCGTTCTTCTTTTCCTCACCCTCTTCTTTACCGCCGTTTTCTCCACATTTTACAGTCTCCGCAGTTTCATGCAAATCAGACTGCGTCTTTTCACGGCGTTTTGCTCTTTTGGACAAGTTGGGTTTCTTGGTATCTGAATTAAACAGATTCTTGAGAGAACCCGTTTGGATACTTGAATCAGGGTTTTCTGGGTTCTCGTTTCTGGATTGATTCTGAGCCTCTGATGCTGCGATTAGTTCAGCTTTAGCTGCTCGTAGCTTTTGTTTAAGCTTCTTGTTTGATAATACCATGTTCTTCTTCAATTCTTGAATATTCTGTCTGCAATATCGGCAAGTGAAAAGGATGGCCTCTGCGAGCGGCAAAGAGAGAAATTAAGGGGATTCATGTGTTAGATCGAATGCTGGGCCAAATATTTGGGCTATTCGTTGTCCTCCTGATTCGACTTGGGATAATTGCGCCCAATACCCTAAAAAATTTACTAATTTAATTAATACACAATTAACTAACTAAATAATTTAGCCACGTATTTATTACGTTCCAAAACTATCAAACCCCTCAACCCCTTCCCCTTTTCTCCAAAAACTATCCGTCCCAATTTTCAGAAAGCTCCCAAAGGAAACCCTCTCACCCAATTAATGTCACTATTGTGAATCATTCTATTTAAAATTCAAACATGAAGAAATTCAGTTCGTCGCTTGAAGTTTTGGAGGAAAAAGAGTTTTGGATGTTGTCTTTACTGTACACGTCACACCAGAAGATGGCTTTAGCTATGCAGGTTTTGAAGCAGTTGGATATGATTTCAAACTGGTGGATTTGACTCAACTGCTTGAGACGGTACTGTCTTACTTCCAACCAGCTAAGTTTTCTGTAGCTATTCACTCTAATGTCCGTGGGATGGAAGTGGATTTGGAGTTCACTTTTGACGTGGAGAAAGGAGCTGCGAAGTGATTGGCAATGGTGGATCAATCATGTATAGTAGCTTCACTCTCAATAGTTGCGGGTCTCCCAAATAAATTCTGCATCGCTATTGGAATGAGGATGAGGAAGTTGGGAAGAAGTAGTTACCATTTAGTTGTCATTTTCGTGTTTCCTTAAATTTGATATTTTAGTTGAA